GGATCTCTCCGAATTGCTATCTACTCTTTGTCGCAAATTCCCGCAATCGCGCTTCTTTCAAACTCTCTCCACCTTTGCAAGGTCTCAAACCTTGCAAAGGTAGAGAGTCTGAGACAATGGAAAGTCGAAGAATTTCATTATTCTGAAAAGCTGCGCGACAGACGATACACGAATTAATCTGGCTCAATTTGGAGAGCGAAGGATTAGAGAGTAGGACAGGGAACAGAATCGGCGGAAAAGACTAGATACACTCCATACCTCAGAGATTGAAAGGACATGACTACGTACTTTGTTTGAACATGGCGCAGGTTTCTTTTTTTTGCAGAAAGATCCGATTTCAGACGACCGTCCTGGCTTGTGCAGAACGAGGGCATGATCACATTTGTCCCAGACGGCAGTACCACCTCACTAGAAACGCCACGTTACAGACAGCACTTGATCAATACCATTCCAGCTCCCGTATTGTGGGGCCAGTTGATACGTAAAAAGCCATTTTGTGAATTTTTGATGAGACAGATAGGTATGCCACCTTTTCCCAGTCCATGTTCCACAGTCACAAGATATAGTGTAGTTCGCTGCGGACGGTTGGGCGTGTCAGGCGGGATGAGTTTGGCGCGGTGCCAAACCCGTTCTCCACCAGTTGTTAAAGCGAGCAAGTGATATGACTGTATCATATCGTTCGTATTACTCGTTTTCTACCACTTTTTGTCGCATGCGCGCTTCAACAAGAAGGCTTAGAACGGCTTTGACTCACCCATAATGTCTGACATGCCCAACCGTAGCGAACGAGTTGATGAGCGCGACCTAAATGCCACCGTCTGGAACCAACCATGATTACCAACTAGGAGGGAATTGTGCTTACACAGGGCAGTATAAAAGCAGGGCGACTACAAACCCACATAGAGAAAGAACCCTGCGCAGTACTGAACCTTAAGCGCAGCTCTGGAACTGGCTCATGGTGAGCGCTCGTTTTCGACCCAATGTACGACAAACTGACTATGAGTAGTAGTGAAGGAGAGGCGGGCACACTAACACATCCTCTACACGCTTTTTCGCAAAGCTTTTCCATCAGCCGGACCAAAACAGACAACTGAAAAATACATGAGAAGCGTTGCAACCACTACGACCACAGTCAATTGGAAGAATGACTAAATGTCGCGTAGAATGAAAACCATTGTCTGCATTAACACTGTCCTATTTCATTTGACGCCCTGTCCTGAGTTTTTTTTAGTTTGTTGTCAACGATGGGATTTCCTCACTTTGATATAGAAATAAGTCTCCGCGAATTTGGTTTGAACTCCCGTATCTCACTGAGAGCTCTCACAAGCTCGAATAACGTCTTCGATGGTATAAAATATTGATGGTCAAGGTTGTTAATTAGCATGAAAATAAGTGGGCTTATTTAATGGTAGCGTTTCATTTAGACGGCTTTTATTCTGACTTCTCTTTGATATCCGTGTCTTGTTCGGTGCAATATTTGCTCTGAAATTCATTCCATCTCTTGCTGAAGTTTCCATACAGAATTCGGCAGTGCTCGCATAGCAGAAGTTCTGTAAGTTCTGTAGACGAAGGCGACTCAGCGGAGTTTTCTGCTTCGCGAGACCCTCGTAATGGAGTATTGTGAAATTCTTTTCAGCTACAGTTTTCATTTCAGTACATGCTATTGTCGCCAATATACTGGGCGGCAAGAAAACGTGAAGATCGAAGACCTTTGTACAGACGCCTTCTTACCAATCGGCGCCTTGATATCATCCATAAAAGTGAGTATCATTATGGTACGAGCGTGGAAATCAGATCATTGTTGGATGCAGCGCTTCTATGCGTTGTTGCCGCACTATACCCGAGCTATGCCGGACGCCACTGCCGGCGACGGTACACCAAGGATAACGCGCCATCGTTGTGCGAAAACCCATAGGAAGGGGGAGGCGGTCGCTACTTGCGCCGCTGGGAGGGGGCGCTCCGTTAATCTCAAGGGTCAAGCGCCGGGCAATGCTTTGACATGTCATTTGATAGTGGGAGTGGAGCTATGGAAGCCAAGATATTAGAAAAATGAAAATTATTAGAATGTATTCTTTACAGATTCAAGTGCTCCGTTTAACAGCCCTCTTTTCATGCGAAATCCCCAGAAATGGGTTTTCGTCACGCCCGGCCGGGGGACGTGGAGAGTATCGCCAAAAGTAGCTCCGTTACGCGCATCAAACAGGTACAAGTGTCATTTTGCTAAGTTTGATGGAACTGACGGAAAGTTGCAGAAGACCCGGATGTAAGGAGGACTATAAAATAATAAAAAATTGTTTAGCAATATAGCAAGAATAGCAAGAATAGATAAATAAATGAATAACAATTAATAGTATGAACTCGTAAGTACGTAGATGACTACATAATACGTCTCAAACAGATTCGTGCGTATTGTCCTTTCCAAGCCCTAAACAAACATTTGCTTGCATGGATAAAAGCACCTGAAATCAGAATTTACACCTTTCCATCCTCTGCTATCTATCGTAATGCACGGCGCACACTCGGACCAAATCGATCAGTGATAGCCGAGCTCCTCTTTCACTCATTTGAAAGGGAAATATGTCTTTTGGAGAAACATCAAAGTTTCCGAAGGTGTATCCTCACAATGGCTCAGGAGTAGTCGATTTTCCGGGTGGTTCAGAGGGTAGCGCGTCAGTAACCCATCTAAAATATCTCCTGAATTAGCAAGTCTTCAGGAAACCTGTAAAGCTTATTGGAAAGAGAAAAGATAGGGCGGTTTCAAGACGATTTTAATCCTGATGAAATGCGTTGCGTTCGAAATAAGTAATCCTCGTGTGAAGCATAAAAACCCGCTTGCCATTTACCCCTAGCCGATCCGAAACCCATCCGAAATATTTCACGAACGGGGGAACATTCAGATTGCAACTAGGTAGAAAACGCAACAGTGATAACTTTTCCATAGCATGCTAATGCTAATGCTAACCATTTCTCAAAAGCCTTGCACCTGAAAGAGATATAACCTCCTGAAAAGACCCCAGGACGCTGACAGGTCCAACAACCGCGCTCCAATGACGTTTTTCCAATGAAAGTCGCAACGTTGCGATCGATAATAGCCGAGTATAGAACGATATACTGCCGCCTGGTTATCCATTTTTTTTCATTTGGTTCCGCATTTTTTTTTTTTCATGTTTCGCTTTGTTGTGTCGTGCATGTTTTCATGATTTCCCCGTCACCATTCATTGAATGCACATCTGGGGCCTGACACACTGACCTTGGGGCTATTTTTTCACCATTTAGCTCATTAATGATCACCATTAGTCGCTGTTTCGATTGTGTTCCTTGTTACAAGTTGCATTTTTCATACATACATTTTATACATATATTTTTTTGTCATACGTGGTTGTCGAACGACGAGTTTTATTTTGAATCCTAAGACAAAATTGTAGGCAATGCGAGGCTGTTGTTCAGCCTCATATTGCATGAGGCTGAAACAGCCTATTATTGCCTGGATTTTAGAGCAGAGTCCGCCTTTCGAAATCCAGATTCCATTTCAGGAAGCCATTTCGTGTGAACATGCATCTGGTTGTCAGTTGTCAGTTAAAGCAGGAGGGGGGGGGGTCGTACTCACACCGCCATTTGCACATCCCCATGCTTTACTCTGACGGTAGCTCGCACGCCCATTTTTGAGGCAGCGTTCATACTTCACGATGATGCGTCGACGCGCTACCGTTGCGATAGAGCGACTCTGCTATAGATGGGAACGCGTTCATAGACGGGTATGGATCTGCTCAAACCGAGTGCTGTACAGTACTGAAGAATAGGAAAGTACCAGACCGTGTGATTAGGCGTTATAAAATAACAGCGTTGCCGTTTCGGACCGCTTTGTGGACCTTATCACGCCTAGTCATATTGTCACAGTCAGTTAACCCTCCCCTCCACACGTTCTCCGTGCTCTCCCAAACACTAGCGCCTAGGGTGGCGCCGATATAGCCCCATATATGAGGGCGTTCAGCCTAGAGTGTCGTCTACCACTGGAAGCCTATTGCAATAGTAGAAGGGCGACTCTCGTAACCCGTCATCGTAGAGTGTGCGCTTCCCAAGCTTGAGCCCGAGAGAGGGAAAGAAATCATGACTTCGGTGAGAAGTCGAGCACGCGCGGCGAAAATCGTCGCGATTGCCCTATACTCGAAGCGCGGCCCCCTCCAACTGCGTTCACGACGTAATTTTGTTTTGGGATTTCTATTCTACCAGCTGCTAGCAGTTTTTGTCACCCACCAATAATGTTCTAGTCCCATACCCTGCATCATATCTTGGAATCAACGTCTAGACGATGCTGTGACCCGCGTTATGGACTCGGTGGCCCTCCCACTCTTATGGGATCTTATCAGCTGGTATCACTCCCTGTCACCCACCAATAATGTTCCCGTCACAGCCTCCTATATAACTCCTTGGAATCAATTTCCCACAGCTACTGGGAAGGTCGCTATGAATTTCGTGACAGACACACACACACACCACACACACACACACAAGTTAAGTACTTAAGGCGGATTATTATAGGGAGGAGCTCATTCTTCTCAGAAAACCCAAAGAAGCAATTCCAGCAGGAAGTTTCAGGCTCAGGAGCACTTTCTCCTTTTCCTTTGCGTTGCGCGGGTAACTTGTTTCTCATTTGTGCTTACCTGTTGGTAGTCAAAATTGTCTCTTTGCATGGTTTCCATTTCGAAGCGCGTATCCCTGAGTTGAGCCTCACGTTTATTGGACTTGACCACAACAGTCCAATATTTCTTATCTCTCCGCCTGTGTGTAAGTTTCAGAATTCTTGTTTGGTACACCATGATATGCGTTTTTCCATGGGCAGCTCCATAAGTCTTGCTGTTGCATAGGCGTAGCTCCCAACATTATTAATTTATAAATTACCATTAGTGAGTGACGGGTAAGGCCTTTTCACCTATCCTAGTAGCACTAGTCAACCTCCTCTGTGTTCCCTTACCAAAATCATTGGGTTCGAAATGTACAGTTTGTTCAATGAAAGTTTTTCAGCTTTCATTCGATCAATTCTTGGGTTCATCCTGTTCAGTACATCTTATTGTATCGTGAACACGGGAATATATTATAAGTTTGTAAGGCCGCTTCGTCAAGAAGAACGTGAACTATTAGAACGAGAACTGATTGAGGCAGATCGCGCTGGTTTCAAAGTGAATTTAAAGTAAGTTTTTCAGGTTTCTTTCTGCTCCATCGATAATCTCACCATTAGATATAGAAACATGTTGTCTTTCAAGCAGTAAATAATAACCGATAGAAGTTTGATTGAATGGGGCAATTTTTAGCATATGTTATTGGGAAGACACCGAATCTGTGGGGATGGGGAATTCTTCACCGACAGCACTTCTTGTTTTGTCGTAAAATATGAAAAGCCAGTGTCCCCGCAAGAACCTTGATCTGTCTTCATAAAAGAATGACAAAGTGTAATTATTTTCAGATGAGCTTCTCCCACATTATGTCTTCTTTGGTCTCACGCTGGGAGGGGCTGTTTTTCTTAGGGTTCACATCTGGCGCCGGATTCGAACTGTTCAAAATCTATTTCTCATTCAGAGGTGAGCGAAACTTCAGAATATGACTCTTGGTAAACGAGACTATTTATTCCCATATGCCGCACCTTTTGAGTTTCAATAAACAACTATTTGTGAGATTTCTGATTGTGAGTTATCCGTGTCCTGAGACGGACATTTCTGGACTGTGCTTTGTGATCAGTGCTTCGGAGGGCATTAAGGGAGCTAGCTAGAGGCTTCTGCTGCATGATAAAGGTGTCGCAGTTTCGTGCCATGGATGAACCCTGAGCCACTTAACAACCGCAATATTATTCTGTATCAGTCGACGTTGAAGTTTTGCACATTCGTGGTCACGCCCAGTCAGTTTCTCCAGTAACGTTT